AAGATAGCGCTCTCCAATGTCTCACAGCTTCCTCAGTTTACTTTCGTATAAATCAGGGCTGTAACTGCATGAACACACTTCTTTCTTTCACTTTCGTTGCTTGGGAATGCACTCATACTAAATTATGACTGTCCGAGCGCTGCAACAGCGCTGTAGTTGTGAGGATTGTGACTGCTAAAGCTGGTTAGGATGTACAGGAAGAGGTGAGTTCGCTGTAGGACAGTATAGTTACTCCACTGACCTCGTCGGTCACAGGAGAACAGATCGCCTGTCGCTCCGCTCAAACAGGGAATGTATAACTCCGCGTTTCAGCCGTTGCTAAAGACTCATCTTCCTCGTGGCCCCCTCCCTCTCTAATCATGTCGAAAAACTCGGAAGTGCGCCCTCTCCTGGCGACAGCAGAGTAGTGTCGCTTTCCTTGTAGTAGAAACGCCACGAAGGCTTTCGCTGAACGTGGAAGTGTGAGAGTGGAGTATTATATCGAACATTTACCGAACATGTCATATCGCTCTATCGAGGAAAAGTTATATAATTATAATTATAACGATAATTATCGTTATCGTTTTATCACCCAGCCCTATGCCAAACAATATATTTTCATGTCTTAGAAAGAATTTTTTTTAAATCAAGTAATGGAGTTTAATCATTAAATCATGACAGCCCTACAGTGGACACCTAAAGTTGTTTGAGAAATGTTCTGTCATCAACAATCCACACATGGCGTAGTATTAACTGCTTAGTGCTTTTAGATTAGTATTATTTCCTAATAGTTCCACTGTGCCTTTTTTAGCAAGCGTTTTATAATTTTTTTGCTCTGGTAAGGTTGTTTTGATTTGTGTCCGTGTATTTCAACACATTTAGGAAAAATGCTGAATTATGACTACCCTGAATGCATTCTGTCGATTGTGAGGATGTTAAGAAGCTTAGCAGTGGCCTATTTTAATGCAGATTTCCAAGGAGTGTACACATATTTTTCTAACATTTAATTCCTGTTGGCCACTAAATCCCAGGAAAATTCCTTAAAAATCCACGAAACACAGCTGTGCATTGCGAAGAGATGTGTTTGATGTGAATCGGAAACATTGCAGACGGAATATAAATCTTAAACAATAAATCGTAAGCTTATCACCCCTCTGGGTCCTTTCTAAAGCTCAGCCCAGTTTCGATTCTTAAACAAAAGGCTGAAAAGGCAGCGTGCACACATTCACGTAAATAATTAATGCACACAGTAATGGCTGTGTGGAGTGTAGGCGCGCACCCAGGGAGGCTGTGAATGAAAAGATGACCGTTATGAGAGACAAAAACAGCCATTTAAAGTGAAACGGCTGGGAAAAATGGGGGTAGCGGGGGGCATTCAGAGTTGTGAACAGAATTCTGGAGCATTTCCAAGTCTGTTGGCTTGAGAAAAAGAGAAATGAGAAAAACAAAAGGGGCCTGTCTGCCATGAGACGCGCATGCATTGTTCAAAGCAAGAACTGATCTCTGAGCTGATACAGCTTGCTAAATCTGAATGAAGTCAGTGTCTTTTCCAAGCTCAACTTCATGCTCTTACTCCATATTTCTTTCTGTTTTTCTCTGTCTCTCTCTGGCTATTTGGCTCGTCAGACCTATTCCTTTAGAGACTCAAGAGACCAAACATCCGGTCCTCTGAGAAATACAGCGCTGTCCCTGTTTTTCCACATGGTGATGAAAGCTTCCTAGTTCAAGTCCAGCTGTGAACACATGTACCTACACTCTTTGAAAAAAAAGGTTCATTGAGGGTTCTTTAAATCCGCTTAGAAGAACCTCTTTTGGTTTGATCCGAAAAGGATTTGTGAGTGTAAAGAATTCTGTAAATGTTTAAAGAAACCTCACATGATGTAAAGGTTCTATACCAACTTAAGAGTTCTTCCTAAGACTATTACATTATGTGAAGGTTCTTTAAGGTTCACACTCACACATCTCATTTACAAAAATGGTTCTCTAAAACGGTGGTTCTCAAACCGGTCCTCAAAGATGGTCCACTTTTTCCCAGCTCCCACACAGGAGTAGAGCAAAAATGTGGACTGTGGGGACCATTACTCAATCCATTGGTAAGCTCTTAGGGAACCAAAGGTAGTTTGTCTATAGCAACAGTGTTCTTCAAACCTGTACCATGAATCCACTTTCTGTCCCTGGAATTTGTAATCACCTGTAGTTATGACAATAGTTGGCCAATCTATCATTGGTCACTGGACTCCAGGTCCAGAATTGAAGATTACTGTTCTATGGGTTGCTCCAAAGACCCCTTTCAGGCTACAAGCAAACAGAATCAAGGGACATTTGTTACTCCTAATAGAGTAAACAGCATTTGAGTCCCAGTGATATTAGTGAGGAGAGAGTGTAGCAGAAGAGTTCACATTCATACAGTTTTCTCAGCTTATGAAAGAAAAAGCTGTCAGTTTAAGATATTTCATCTGTCACTATACAGACTATTCAAATCTCAGCTCTCATTCTGAATAAGTGCTTGATTTCATAAGACATCTTAATGCGCAGAGCTCAGTGCACTCTCAGACACCACTGGGAGCTGCAAAAACTGTCATGTTCGGTTCCAATTCCAGCACAGTTCTTCTGCAGAGCTGTATAAGTGAACATCTGAAATGGTAATCAGGAACTGACAAAAGAGCATCATGCTTGCCCCGGCCTAACCCTCATTACAGCATCAGATTACTAGTATCATGGTATGTATAAGCCACCATGCAACTCACTGAAACATTCTTGTTCAAGGGTGCGTGCTGTTGGTAGACCCTAGCAAAAAACATCCTACTAGTTACAGTGGTTCCATACCAGAATGACTGAATATGTCCAAATAGGAAAACAAATCATTGTGGTTTTTATTTTGGCAGCTAGAACATCTGCAGCTGAACTGATGAAAGCTTTCGTAAGAAAAAACTCACGAAGAAGCTTAAGACGAAAGCTAAGAAGTTAAGAAGAATATTAGAAAATGCAGTTCTCAAGGAAAAAAAAGCAAAGTTCTTAATTATTGTCTTATTTTAGTGAGAAAACAGAACTGTTTTCTTATATGTTTTTGGTCATGTAGTCCATCAATGTCATGTTACGTTTTACAGCACACCATAAATTATGTAAGATGCATTTTGTAATTGAATTAACCGTTATTTCTATTAATTGGTTTAGTTGAATCCAAAGGAGAGAAAAATAAAAGGTAAAAAAAAATCAAACCAAATGTTCAAAAAAATGTATCAAACAAGAACTAGAAGTGATGGAGGAAAAAACAGCCAATAGGAAAATAATTCCTTGGGAAATATAATAACTGTGGGGTGATGGTGGAAAGCAAGAGAAGAGTACGGTCAGAGGTAGCAGAGGAAGACATAAAGTCAAAGACAAATATGAGGCTATTGTGGAGTTAAGAAAATACTTAAGAACGTTGGCTTCATTCATCAACCATTCTCAAGAAGAAATGTCTGCTTAAAACCCATTTATGCAATTTTTAAAAAGATTTCACCAGTGTTTTCTTATGTGGGATTAGTTCTCAGGTAAGAACAGAATCTACGCACACTCAAGAGCACAAAGGTGCAAACAATTCTGCAGTTCAAGAACACGTCAGGAATCTGACGCAAACTTTTTCTTAGGACTTATCTTAAAAACAATGTTAAGAAAAAACTTAGATATTGGTGAATGAGGCCCATTATTTCTCCATTACGAATTCTACTTGTTCTTAGACTTGCTCTAAAAGAAAAGTGTATGAGACGGGTATGGTCAGGGATAGGAGAGGCAGTCATATAGTCCAAGATAGTGGTCACCAATCCTAACTGCAATTAACATGCTTACCCAACACTAATACATCCAGTCATGGACTTCTGAATAAGTAGCTGGAACAGGTGTGGCAGATTGTGGCTGGAATTAGACTCAACAGAAGGTAGATTTTTTCTTAAATATGAAGCTAAGAAAAAAAATCACATTTAAGAAGACTTTTTAAGACACTTTTGTAAATCCGCCCCAGATTTGAGTAATCAAAAGAGAAGTAAAAACATTGTGCCTTTAGGAGCTCACTCCCTTGTTGACATCTGAACCAACACCTTTGGTCTGGTTTTGAAAGAACAAATAGCTGTCGTTGTTACAAATTAGGCAAACAGTCAAGTGGTGAGGATGCAGTTTACAGGTGAGCATGATCAAATGAATAACACAAAAATGTATTCTTTAAAAGGAACAAGGCCATGTGCAACTGATTTAATTGTACTTTTTTTTCTCAAATGTTAACCAGTTACAAGTTCTTCTATTATAACGCTGTTAAAACTAGTTGCTGTGTATCGGTTGTTTGGTTACATTTATTGAACATCAGAAGACTTTTTAAAACTGGTCACTACATTCGATTAAAGATTTCGGAGAAACAAGAATTTTGTCTTTAAAATGATGTGATGAATTGTGCTTAGTGTTACCAGGCAAATGAACTAACAAAGTACAAACTTAATTTTGATTTCAGATTGGCTTTAAAACATTCTAGACTGACAGTCAAAGCTGATAAACAGGAATATCTCATAATCTCAGACTATGAATAATAGAATTTTTTCTTTAAAATATTAAAGGTCGCCAAGTATTACAGAGAACTTGACCCTGTTATTGCCACATGCAAATATATTTTCTCTGTTCATTTGATGATAGACTCTATGAGGACTTACATGCTTGACTCACTGATAACAACTCTCAGGAATTTGCACTGATAAAAATTTTGGTGTGCTGAGACTCAAGCAGTCTGTTGTAAGAAGCCAAACATATACCTCAGTGGCTGAGAAGTCAGCACACTCTCCCACTCGTTGACCTCTGGTCTTATTTCTGTCATTCTGATGGATTCTTTTTAAATATTTTAAGTGGCTCAGGGTCAAGGGAATCAGAGTGTAATATAAACATCTAGCAGTATGAAAATACCTAAATAAATGAAAGTTTTCCAGCTGAAATGTTTAATCATTGGTGAATAATAGAATGAAGTAGTGAATAACTGACACTTTGTTTGTTCTGTTTTGCAGTTGTTGGGGGTGGCCTTCCTGGGCATTGGATTGTGGGCATGGAATGAAAAGGTGAGAAACAGCTGTGTGGCAAGAAAAGTGGCTGAATTAATGTTGAATATGTTATGCTGAATTAGCTGTTGGCAGCACATTCTACCATCAAATTAATCTCCAAGGAGAATCAAAGATAAAACTGGGTTTATGTTTGTATGGAAAATGTCATTGAGTTGAAAAGTCAACATGATAAAACTGCCATCCAAGGGCATTCAGATGGTGATGTCAACATTTTCAACATATTGTTCAAATCTCAAACCATGCTCAGTATGAGATTTGGTGGGGGTGATTGCAGTCACTCTGAGAAATCTGTGTCCCATTTGCACCATCACTGTCCATGAATCTTTTTGACCCATTCTGATTCCAGTTTCTTCACTGCCGAATCGTTTTTTTTCAAGCAGCATGCAGTAAAGACATTAACATTGTTTATTTGCTTTGTGGACTAGACAAGCACACTAATATTAAAACACAGGCAGGTGTAGCTCTAACAGTTCCACACACAGTGCATGAGTATTTAACTGGCTCGTATTATTTACATCAGAAAACCATTATGCAAATTGAATATTGGTCTAGTATAATATATGACAGATATTGACTCACTATATGGGAGGATATTTGTAAAGGAAAGGTAAGTACAGAAATACCCAGGATATGGTGCGTATTCTGAGCCAACCAATATTTGGAGAATCAAGATAATCTCAGATATCTATGCTTTTCAGTGATAGAAAATAAAAATGGTTGGTTGCAGATCACAGTTAGGATGGCAGATCAACCAATTTTGATCCTGTCTGATTCTGATCATTTGCCCTTACGAATAGTCATAGCTAGGGCTGGGTGATTAATTAAAATTTATTTTCACATACAATTTTGGCTTCAGATGATCATGTAAACAAGACAATTGTGATAAAACAATTATTGTCGCATTCCATTTTGCAAAAATGCTCTCATTTGTGTCTTGTGTTATAAATCCTTTACAGTGGTGCGCTTTCACCCCTCTCTAAAAGCCCAAACTCACTCTCAGCAAGGCTGTGGCCTGTTTAGTTCAGTTCAGCCAAGATGACAGAAAGAGAACCTTTGGTCAACAAGAAAGGTAAAACCAATTCAGCTATTTGGAAACATGTTGGTTTTAAGGAGTCTGATGAGAAATGAGTGCAGTGCTAGGAACTTCTAAACTGACTGTCAATTGATGGTTAACTGAGTTAACCTCTGCACTGCTAAGCAAGCCTATAACGAAGCGCTAATTTGTGATCAATGTTTTATTAATAACTAAGCATATAGATCACAAGAAGCCCAAGATATGCCTACAAAATTCTTCACAATAGTAATAATATAAATTGAATAGTTAATATTGGATGCCTAATGTAGTAATGCTAAAGATAATGGTAGTGGTGATCACTGTTACACTCACAAAAGAAAAAAGACATACACATAAAAAAGGAAATTAAATAAAGGACCATATTATGAGGAAGTTTCTACACACTCAGCTAAGTTATTAAAGGTCATTAAGCTCTCATTGTTTTAACAGTTGTTTTTCAGTGTTTGTCCAGGACCCAGTTGTTTTTATTTTGGCCTTATTTAGCCCAGCCGTTGTACATTCCAGAATTTAATGTCTCGAAAACAAGCAAGCCAAACACGATGAGCAGATGAGCGGAGGGTTCGAACCATAATTTCAAAATTGTCTTTTCGGCTGCTGTAAGGCCTGCTAAAAAAGCCTTTTTGATGAGTAGAAAACAATTCTGCAGAGTTGTCATCTAGAAGGAAAGTCCAGTGCGGTCTGTGTGCAGATTTTCCCAAAATATTAGAGAGAGTATCTTGGACATAGGGCCAGAATACATTTACAATAGGAGATGCCCAAAACATATGCATATATGTGCCAACTGCTGTTGAGTTACATAAATGACAGCAAAGACTTGACTTTTAATTTATACAGTAAATTGGGTGTAGCATATGTCTTTATATGAACTTAAAACAAATTATTTGATTGCTGAATACTTTAAAGTAATAAAACAGTTGTTCCATACTATGAACCAATTAGGTTTAACTTTAAATTCAGGCTCCCAAAACAAAGAAACTGAAGGATTAGAATATGTTTGTATACTGTAGATACCATGCCTCCTGATGCAGAAGTAGAATCTACCCATTTCTGTAAAGGGTGTAGAAATATTTGATTAGACCAGGGGACACCATACGCTTTTAAAGTGGATCTCAATCTTAAATATGAAACAAAAAGGAGAAACCTCGTAAAGTAAACTCTTCTTTGAGATCCTGAAATGATTTTTGACCTTCCTCATTAAAAATATCTCTCAAGGTATGTATGTCTTGGTTAGATCAAACTTTATGTACAAATGGCTTGTTGCCTGTATTGATGTTACTGTTATGCCAGAGAGTCATTCTGCTGGCATAAGGAAAAGGTCCTCCCATGATTGCTGAGTGGGAAATGATAGAGATAAACATCTTTAAAGATTTCTTGGGAATCCTTAAAATAGACTGCAGCCTAATGGTGTGAACGATGTTAGCTTCAAGACTGCACAATGGTACAGGGGAACCTGCAAGTCTTCAAAGGTCTAATTTGAAATGCCAGATAGTATAGTTTAAAATCCAGAACCAATCACCTCTTGATCTGAGGATGATTTGTCCCATTCTACTGTTTGCTAACTATTAGAAAATAACTAGGGACAGTTTGTAATAACACAGAGACAGTTTTCTCACTGCTGGATATACAAAAAAAGGCTACAGATGTGCACTCGTAATAAAATATACAATAATGTGCAAAAGTCTAACACCTAAGCACATTCTTTAAAACCATTTATCTTTGCAATAACTGTGTTTGTGCCTATAACACCATATATCATTAGAATACATGCAAATAAGCATAAATACAGTAAAAAGAAACAAGAAGGTCTTAGTTTTAAAAAAGTAGTCGATTTGTAGAACAAAGTTTGGTTCCAGAGTTCTCCTCTAAGCCCCCCCCCTTCCCTCCACCCCAGGCATCATATAGATTTTTTTTAATTCCATCACCAGCACACCTGATTTAATTTAATGAAGTATTGATTAGACAAACCAGGCAGTGGATGATAGCTACAGTTAATACTGGGCTGCCATGAAAAGAGGTTTGGAACTGTTTAAATTAACACACTGACATACATAAAATAATCACAACTTTTTTATTAATATTCTTTGTTTTTCTTCTAATATTAGTGCTTTTCTGAACAAATTAACAGTTTTTGCCCAGCCAATTTTCTCAGGTGCCTAAAACTTTTTCCCAGTGCTATATATGTGCATGCTATTCCATTTCAATACTTACCAACACTTTACTAAGACTTTTCACTTTCCTACTTTTTTAGTTTAGAAATATTCTGTATTTACAGTATTGCCTCGCTGGGCAATTGTTGAAAATTTCTGGATAATTCAGTTATTGAGATGTAATCAAGTCATTCACATGGTTTGATGTGAAATGGCGCATTGTAGAGAAACTGACCAGTGGTGGTGGTGAAGGAAAGCATTAGTTCTGATATCTGCAACACAAATATAACCATTTTATTTACTATTCAAAACTATCAGTGAACCTGCACAGGTCATTTAAGGTTTTATATGTAATGCTGATAATGGTAAAATAGTGGCAAAGCTGGAAAAATGCGTTTTCTTTGGGTACTATTTGTGCCTTACAACACCCTGCATGTATGTCTCTGTCATAAATAGATTTTAAACACGAATTTTATGCCAAAACCTTCTCAAAACTGTCATAAAACTATGTCTTAGGCATCATGCAGTGTATTTGTTAGCATTTCATATAATAATTGTCTCTGAGGTAGCTTTTAGATGCTTTAAATGCTTTAGACGTTTGGTTCCTGTCACCACCATTGTGAACAATTCTGACTCTCTAGTTCTCTCGAACTGAGTATTTCACACCAAACCATCTTAAATGCCTCTGTTTACATCTTAAAAATCCAATTGTGCAGAAATCCTGAAATGCCCTTTCCTGCCTTTGTGTCAGAATTGCGCATGCACAGGCACACTTTGTCTGGTTGGGCACTAGCCGCTAGCACAAAGTGTACTTTTGGGAGCATGTAACTGGAGCTGTAAAGATAAGTGTGCCAGGCACCGAAGGCTCAGAGGATCCTGTGCCTAAACTGTACTGTACTTAGGTGGACAGTGATTCACTGCGGAAACACTTCATGCGAAACATCTCAATCTCATCTTACTCAGCCTCCCTGTAAAAGAATTTGGGTTGGGAGGCACTTTCATGCTTCTTGCAGTAGTTGTTTACAAGAGATCACTACACTCAAAGTCAAGAGTCCACTAACATCAAAAGTTAAGCACTGTCCTAGAAACTTGGGCGTTATTTTTGATTCTCAGTTAAAATTTTCAATGCATATTAAAAATTTTCAGTCCTGCTTTTCCAGTTGAAGTATTGCAAAATTTTTAGGACACAGAGAGGATCTTTTGTATCATCTTACTTGGACTATTATAATATCCAGTGTCAGACTGATATTCTCTACTGTTTCAGTTTGTTTTAGATTAATGTGTTTTGTTATTTTATTGTTTTTTTTTTTTCTTTCAAAAAAACATACTAAGTAACTATTATTTGCAGATTAACATAAGTTACATGAAATTAACATACACTCTGAAAACGTACACTCTGAAAAAAGGTGGTTCTTCAAGGTTCCTTATTAAAGATAATGGTTATATATAGAACCATAAACACTCAAAGAACCCTTTGCATGATTAAAGGGTTCTTTGCATCTTGAAATGGTTCTTCAGAGTGATGAACTCCTCACAAAAAATGACTCTCGATCACATCATCAACTGACCCCTCTCTCTCCCTCTGTCAGGGTGTGCTCTCAAACCTCTCCTCCATCACTGATCTTGGTGGGTTTGACCCTGTCTGGCTCTTCCTGGTGGTAGGAGGGGTGATGTTCATTCTGGGTTTTGCTGGCTGCATTGGAGCGCTGAGAGAGAACACGTTCCTGCTCAAATTTGTAAGTAATGAGGTATACTGACCATATTCTTAGCCTTAGATGCCCAGCCCACACGTACATGGTGCATTTGAATGCACAATTACTGTTTATTTGCTGTTTATTTGGGGGGAAATAAATTCTACCCTATGCAAAAGTTATGGCATATGATTAACTTAGCATATAAATAGTAATGGCACACTACAGTTTGCTGAAAATACCATATTCAAGTTAAGTCCCTGTAGATGCTGTGTTAAAATAGTTTTCTTTGAAGCATTTGCCATGTTACATGACCAAACCCAACAGACTCTCTGACAATGTGCAGAGGTCTGGCTTGTGAGGCTATTCTGGCCATTGTGGCCTTTTTAACCAAAGGTGCGATGTGTCCAAAGGTCCTCTCTGTCAAATATGGGTAAAAATCCTCAATTTTGTCCCAGGCTTTCTCTCATTTCCTAGTAAATGTTTGCTATGCTGTTCTCTGTTGACTGTATTGCATGGCAATATTGTCACTAATAGCTTAACATGGAGGTCTTTACTTGGACAAATGGTAGTGAAGTATAATTGGGTTCTTACCTTTCCTTTCATTTCCTCTAGTTCTCTGTGTTTCTGGGGATTATATTCTTCCTGGAGCTGACAGCAGGAGTTCTTGCCTTTGTTTTTAAGGACTGGATCAAAGACCAGCTCAACTTCTTCATTAACAACAACATCAGAGCCTATAGAGATGACATCGACCTCCAGAACCTTATTGACTTCACTCAGGAATATGTAAGAGAGAGAGAGAACCTGCTGTGTTCATGACAAGCTCACTGGAGTATTTCACGATGTTTCAGGATGTAGATGAAGAGAAAGACAAAGTAAAGCAAAGAACGGGAAAAGAAAATGTATGGTGAAACAGGGAAGGAGGGCTGAGTGAATAGAAGAAAAAGAGAGAGAGAGAGACTGGCTCCCTGCTTCTAGTATAGGTCATGAAATATTTTCTGCTACAAATTGTGCATTATATGTCTAATATAAAGCCATTACTCCCTGTCTAACACTTAGTGCACTGTATGGGTGTAGAAACCTTAGTTTCAGACCTATACAGTACACTAAATAGGGCAGGGCAGCCCTGGACTTTTGTCTAATCACAGACTCTTTCGCCTCCCTTCAGCCCTGCGGTTCTTTGCTCTGGCATCTGGTATTTCTGTTTTTTACCACGCAACTTTTCACATCCCCCCTCTTTCTAGCTAGCCTTCACATTATACCTTTCCTGTTTTTTTTTTTCATTGCATTTTGTCCTGGAGGCAGTTTTGGCATTTACAGTCACAATTTGTGATTGGCCAATGGCCATGCATGGAAAATACAGTTGACCACTAACAAGTCTAGATATGTGTACCCCAGTATTTGCCCATCACATGCCATTTGTCCCAGGTGGTCTCCATTCATTTTCATGTGGGACTGCATGTGCAGGCAAATACTTTAATACAATTTGTCTCTTCCTTGCTCTCTTAGGGGCCCCACACTTTCCCGGAATTGTCCCGGTTCTCCTGATGGCCAGTCCTTCCCTGGGGCAGGCTATCCAAAGTGTGGCCCATGGGCTAAAGTTTGTCAATGAGGACATTTGATTTGGCAGAAAAGTCACCAGAAAATTACTGTAACTCCACCCCTCACATAGTGCAAGAGCAAACATAATTTTATACTGTATGTAACATATTAAATTCTGTATTTTAAAATTCAAAGTATTTTACCAACAAAATAGAATAATCTTGATTTGAAGCCAATTTATCCTCTTGATTGGTATATTCTTTTGTCTTTTTGGCCCTCTGCCCACCACAAACATAGCATTTTGGTCCCCAAAGACAAACCCCATATAGGAGGTAGGGAGATATTTGAGATTCAGAGAGAGAGAGAAAGAAAGAGAGACAGACAGATAAGACAGACACATACACAGACACAGATAGAGAGTCAGGAGGACACAGAGAAAGCCAGTTTCCCTGGCAACCTGATCTATTTGTTAGTACTATACCGAATCCTTATGTTCTTACTCCAAACTTTTATTTAGCTGACAGGACCTTCGTGTTCATACAGAGTGCTCAACAGTGGGCTGATAAGAAGCCTGTATGTTACTCAGTGAAACTTCACCACCTGTTTCTTTGAAGGCTTCCCATCTTTGTAAAACAGTAGATATAAATGGTAATTTGTGTTTAGTATTCAGGGAAGGGATTTGTCTGTACTATACACATATCTAACCAGAGATAGTTAAGCAATGGATTCATTAGAAAAACATGAATCCATCGACAAAGTATGTTTGATGGTCAGCTAAACCCAAAGCAGTTTAGTAACAGTAGTATAAATGTTATTATATAATTTGGTATAAACTGTCCTCTTTAAACTTTCTGTATGCTGCCTTAAAACTATAGCTTAAGACAAATAGGCACTTCATCCAGAAATGTCCTCATGCACAAAGACATTTGGCGCCCAGACGACAGTTTCTGGATCTGAGCAGTCGGACAGCAGTGCAGTTTTTCAGCTCTGTTTGGGGCCAGCGGTTGCCAGATCTACTCCCAGCAGATGACTCTACGAAGACAAATTTAATTAGATATTGGAGTTCAGCAGAGTTTATCACCCATTGGGCAGGGCTGTGATCCTGCCTGACAGAAATGATAAAGCACTCTGTGTTAACATGGGATACAAACATAGGCTCACAAGAGCTTTGGTTTAGCAGACATCCTCCAGACGTGCACAGTAGACTGCCGTAGCTAAACTGCTAATAGATCCTTCAGATATGCCAATTTGGTATGAAGAAAAAAACAATTACTTAGAGAGTTGTTGGCATTTAATGTTTAATTTCATCCTCTCTGATTATTTTTTCAGACATAAATCAAAATTTACACTTGATATTTCTGAAATGTGGCAAATGTAAGATCAGAAAGAGATTGTGTTATTCCCTCTTCTGTTCAGTGGGAGTGCTGTGGGGCATTTGGAGCTGATGACTGGAACCTCAACATCTACTTCAACTGTACAGAAAGCAATCCCAGCAGAGAGAAGTGTGGGGTGCCCTTCTCCTGTTGCACCAAGGACCCAGCGGTAAGAGGGTGACACACAGATACACATAACACTTGGTAACACTTTATTTTAGTACTCCAGTGTAGATTCTTTGTAGATGCTTAGCATAACTTATATTAAAATAATTATATATGAAATGCAATAAACTTGAAGTTGAGTGTGATATTCTAACCCTGACTCTAAACCTAACCTTAACTTAAACATAAAACCTACCCCTAAACCTAACCCTTCACCTAATATTGTTGAGTATTACAGTTAACAGTTTGTTAATAATTTAATTATCTTTAGACCATTTATAAGAGGCCATCAAAATAAAGTGACCATCTCTTTATGCATTTATACTTATTAAGTGTAGCATTAATGTACAGCATATGCTTAAACTGAAAATACTATTAGTATTTTATACTATTATGTAATTCTAGTATATAGCATACTACTCTACAACATTCATTTTTTTTTACTATTTTAAAAAGTAATACATACATTGAAGCAGCAGGCATACTTAAACAGACTATGCATAATGTTCCAGTATTTCTAAAAGTATACACACTGTTTTCAGTGTATCCCATTTAATTATGCTTACAGTGGCACAAATATGGATACTTAAAAATGGTATGCATAGTAGTATGTAAACTATTTTCAGTGAATGCTTACTTACTATATATGCATACCTAAAAACAAATGTTTTATATATTTTATAATATTATTGTTGTTTGCTTTGGAACTTGCTTCAGTGTGACTCACTGCAGTAAAACAACCAAGCTAAAGTGACTGAATATTACTGTAAAGCAGCAAGTAGAGAAATATTTTGATAATCATTCGATTTTCATAATCAAGGATCGCATTTTTTTAACTATAAATATAATGATAATTATTTTTAGATATTATTCAGGCCTAACATGCACACTACCTTTCTAAGTATGTGTAAGTAAAAAAGTAGCATGCCTGGTAGTATGCATATTATGTTTGAGTATGCATACTATTTTCAGTGGATGCATACTACTTTTTAAGTATGCATACTACTATATGCACAAAATTGAAGAGAATGCATGCTGTGCATACTTATGTAGTATGCATACACTGTATACACTGAAAAATAGTATGCATACTTAGTATACATGGTAATGTGCATACTTAAAAAGCAGTATGTATGTACTGAAAATAGTACGCATACTGTTTACACTGCATGCACACTACTTTTTAAAGTATGTATAGGTAAGTAAAAGTAACATGCGTAGTGCGCATACAATTCTTAATGTATTTCCAGTATATGAACTAGTTTTTTAAGTATGCATACTTCAAAGTATATGCCTTTTATGTACTTCATTAGTAGGCATTTGCTGAATCTCTTTTGCATTATTACATTTTTAAGTATGTGTAATATAGTATGCACATTACTCAGCATATTAGTTTTATTAAGTAGTATTTTCAGTGTTTGTGCACAAAGTGGTATGCATGCACTGAAAATGTATACATATAAAAATCAGTGGCAGAACTCTTGGCAGTGGCAGACTGCTTTTCTCCACACATCTGTGCTAGAGAATGGAGAACAGTCACATCAAATTGTTATTTCCTTTAGAGAATATAATGCAAAGATGCATTAATCATAGTATGATGCTTTTGTGAAAGATTCCCTTATGTTCAGTCTCTTTTTTGTCAGCACTGCATCTTAGGGCATTTACAATAAATGACTAAGATGTAGACAGAAGTGATGAGGAAAATACTCTTTAAAATGTATGAAGACCATTTTAAACTCATAAAGGGTTGATTGGATTTGTGAATAAAAAAAGTTTACTCACAATAAATAAGTGCTTCTGAGTCAGAGGAGGGCGCCTGAGGCAAAAAGCATTGATTGTGGCATGCTGTGAGTTATTAACCTTATAAATCATCATCCGAAGGCATTAAACAATTTGTCTGTAGGCTTTTTTCTTCCTGTGTGTAGTTAAATCACATCAGCAGTCAGACAGAGGAGACAGGGGCGCCATCTGGAGAGATTCTGCTGCTTCAGTAGGAACTGGACAGGCCAACACAAAGCAGTGCAAATGCATATCGTGTAAGGCTGTGTCATGTCTGGAATTCATTTCAAGAAGTTGTGGAGAGCAAGGCACAGACTGACACGTTTGTTTTCGCTTAATAATTTTAAAAGTATTTGAGCAAGATTAATAATTCTTTTATACAAGCCACATACACATCTCTGCTTGATGAAAGCACAGACAGTTTCCAGCACCTACTGTTTATGACTAAATCAGCTGAAAGTGGCAAAAGTGCAAAAGTTTACAGCTAACTCCATAGGCAGGGTTAGCTGTAACAGACTCGGGGGCTAGTTGTAATAGTTTCTGAAAAGTCTGGTTAATCAGTGAAGGCACAGTTGATTTAATATAGTAGTATGTTGCTTGAAACAGAAGACATTTCCAATCTAAATACGTCAAAATAAATATGATTAGTGAAAATGGGCAAACATGTCAAACATTAGAAGTGCAATACCAGCACAATAAAACTGAAGTATATTTTATTTATATGACATCTATTGCATGTTATAGATGAATCTCTACATGAACACTTACAGAAAATAACTTGTTCATTTATATGGAGGAATATGGAGTCCTGTCATTATTTATATTTGTAACACTGGATTAAAACTAATCCCACTGTGTGATGACTGTACTTTAGCCTGGCTAGTTCTCAATGTATGTTATTCACATGGTTCAAAACTATAATATACTATAACTACCAAGTGGGTTAAAATAGGTGTGAATTTTGTGACTTACACACACAACTCAGTAATCGAAAATTACTTATGATGAAAAAAAATACCTCTATGGTACAAATGGTACAAAGAAATATCTGCTGTAAAAAATTTAGAGATGAAGTAACTGGAATAGGAGAAAGTATTTTCTACTTGTAGTTACTTGTTTAACTAGATAAAATGTCCATGTTACATTTTACCCTACATTAGTCTGCGACTCAAACTGATGTAAAGTAAAATGTATTGTAGGGTAAAATGTAACCCTCTTCTACTGAAAGTGAGGTCATAAAGGAAATGCAGGGCAGCATCCTAAATACATTTGACTTAACGATGCCCCACCCACAAGAGCGTCCTTTCATAGCAACACTTGTAAGGCTGAACAAGTAAGTTATTCATTTCAAATCACATTTATTGTGTATGCATCTGTGAGAGATCACACTGTAGAATTATAAACTGGTAACTCAACATTATGTAGTGAGACTAAACTCAGATTGCTGCATTAGAAGTTTAAAATAAAATAAACCCCATATTTAAATGAAAATAGTACAAAGACAAGATGTCAAATGTTGAAACTGAGAAATTTTGTTGTTTTTTGGAAAATACATACACATTCTAAAATTTTTTGCTAGCAACATGTTTCAAAAAAGTTGGGACAGGGCAACAGAAGACTGGTGAAGTTGTGGAAAGTTGTGGAAAATCTCCCAACTAATTAGGTTAATTGGCAACAGGACAGTAACATTATTAATTATAAAAATGGTTCACACTCCACACCAAATGCTGTGCAGGCAAATAGTGCAACAATTCAAGAATAACATTTTTTAATGTAAAATAGCAAATAACTTGGGATTTCATCATCAACAGTACATAATATCATGAAAAGTTGTAGAGAATCCGGAGTAATCTCTGTTTGCAAGTGACAAGGCTGAAAAGAAAATATTGGCAGGCCATGGCCTTCTGGCATTCAGGCAGCACTGTGTTAAATACAGACAATATTCTGTAGTGGAAATCACTGCATCTCATCACTCTATCATGCAAAGAAAAAAAACAAATATAAATAGGAAACAGAAATGCCACCGCCTTCTCTGGGCCCGAGCTCATTTAAGATTGACTGAGGCAATGTGGAAAAATGCCCTGTGCATTACGGGAAAACATTTCACTTTCAAAATGACAGCAGTTGGTCTTCTTAGTTCCCAAATGCTTACAGAGTGTTGTTAAAATAAGAGATGATGCAACACAGTGGTAAACATGCTCCTGCCCCACCTTTTTTGAAAGATGTTGCTGGCATCAAATTCAAAATGGGCATATATTTTTCAGAATAAAATTTCTCAGTTTCAACATTTGATATGTTGTCTTGATATGTGATTTAAATGATTTGTACATCATTGCATTCTGTTTTCATTTACATTTTTTGCATAGCATCCCAACTTTTTTTGGAAAAGGGGTTGTATTCTGTATGCATCTGTATAAAATTATAAACTGGTAACTCAACATTATGTAGTGAGACTAAACTCATTAACAGTTTCTCATTAAGTTAATGGGATTTTTGTTAATATTCTGTAAAGTTTGTCCACCTCGCAACAGTTGCTACAGAAAAATTTATTTGGCAAAGCATAGATAGGCCGTTTGTTCAATTCAGAATGAGTATTTCCTTCCTGTTTCTTATCTCTCCCAACCACACATGCCCCAGTGCCACTGTCCAAGTGCCTCCTCAGAAACAAAGCGCTTCTGTCCACTTTCTCCCCATTTATTCTGAAGAAAGAATTTATAGTTCACTTCCTGTTTTTCAGGAGGATGTCATCAACACGCAGTGCGGATATGATGTCCGGGCTAAATCGGTGCGTTGGCCTTTCTTTCTTTCAGTATCTCCCTCAAATGCCATCTTCAGAAAAATAACAAGACGTTATGAGCCTCTGACTATCAATGTTGATTCTGTGTTTGAACGATAGCACATTATAATAGAAAGAGCTACAGTACAACAGTAATACAGTCCATATCATTACTGAAGTTTTTTCTCCTGTGAAAACATTTTGGAGATTAAAAGTTGTTACGATAGCAATAAGTAGGCAAAAGTAAAAACAAAATTACTGCTAGAATTACATTCGTGTGCTGTCAGAATAAATTCCTAAGCAGATATTGCAGAGGACTACACAGTGTGCAGAAGGAGCCCCCTGCAGGCCATAACAAGCAAAGCTAAAGCTATATCAGTGATTGTGTTGTAATTCTACTGTTTATTGTCATATCACAAGCAAAGGAACACAAGAATAAACATTATCAAATGCCTGACCGTGCATATTTTTAAAAACATCAACATATTTTGATATTAAGCTTGCTGTCTTGTCTGTTCCTTTAGAGTGAAGAGCAAAGGACATACATACATGTGAAAGGCTGCGTGCCTCAGTTTGAGAAGTGGTTACAGGACAACCTGACAGTAGTGGCAGGCATCTTTATAGGAATTGCACTTCTACAGGTGAGGGTCCATAACCTTCTCAGTCTCTTTCTTATACACTCAATCCATTAAAAAAATACATTTTTTTCTTGAGTTCTTCTCATTTCTTTTTTTAATTATAATAAGGTTTTCTGCATTTCTTTTCTGTTTGGCAGATATTTGGAATATGTCTGGCACAAAACCTAGTGAGTGATATTGAAGCAGTGCGCGCAAGCTGGTAAGCAAAGACTGATGAAGCTTTTTAAAACATGTTTAGCTTTGTCTGCTCTGCTTCTACACAGTGATTTACCACCCACAGCCAGCTGAGACCGTCTCCTTCAGTACACTAGAGGCAGGGCCTCCCTTTTTAGATTTTCAGCTTAATGAGTCACTACCCATCTGTAGTGGCTCTCATAAGGCAGCGCTTATTTTCCAGTACTGCGTCTCAAACTGCATGCTACCAAACCAAATAGTACGTCAAAAATAGTACACCACCATTAGCAGTACATTCACTGTATGTGTAGTACGGTACTATGTGGCCTAGGACGCAGCCTAGGTTCCTGTCTTTTTGAATGGGCTGAGCTGATAAAATCTCTATGCTAAAATCGCACAGTGTGTAGCATTTGGCTCTAGTAATGTACAAAAAAAAGTTTTTTCAGCTTGTTTTGGCTACGGCACACATCTCCACAATGCAGGATGGAAAGTGAGCTGATTGACCCTTTAATTGAATGGTGGGACGTTCCTCATAAACAGATGTAATGTTGAGCATTATGAGCTTTTCCATTCATTTTTCAAGCACCGAACTGTCTTCTCCCCTTTGTTATATCCCAGCAATAGACTTGCTTACGTGGTTTCTGACTGTATGATGTACTGCCAATACTGACAATACAGACAAAGTTCAGGCTATAAGGTGGCTACTACTGTATTAGACATGCTACATTTTTAGCTATGTTCATGTTTGTAACAGTGTCTCATAGTGTCAGAAACCACTTAAGGAAGTCTATTTTGTCAAAAACCACTTAAGGAAGTCATTATGAGGCAGGTATGTGATGAATTGGTTTATTAGCTACAAATTAGCTACATTAGCCCTGTAGTTCCAGTGCAAAACTAAGGAAGCAAAATTCAGACACCTGACATTGTCTATATATCAAATATATTTGGAGTTAGGAGAAAATTGTGTATGATTTTTTGCCAGTCAGTCATTTTAAGGGCAGGGGTGTCCAATCTTATCCACATCCTAGCCACAAAAATCTAGTATGACAGCAGGTTTCCATTCCAAATGAGCAGTAGCACACCAGACTCTCCTTGTTTTATCAATTACCCTCAAACATTTAATCAGATGAGTTCCTTGTGAACAAGACTGGACACCCCTGCATTAATGCCACTGAGTGAGTATTTGAGGGCAAACAGGCAGATGCTGATTCAGCCCTCAAGACTGCCACCTTGTGGACAATGTGTAGACATTCAGAGATGCTTTCCACAAGATGCACTTTCAAGATATTTTGGGAATAATGCATGTTTGGTGTATTTAATCCAAGATATTAAGGTTATTTACATTCTATGTAAAAATAGCACAATATAGCACAATATTAGTCACAATATTACAATATTAGTCAGGCAAGGACTTTTATTGTGCTCAGTCGTGACTTTACCGCAGCTTCCCTTATGTAATTGAGCTTTTCAGGAAAAACTGTCCGTGACTTCCACCCTCATATTCCTCCTCTTCCTTGAGGGGGCCTACCACAGTGTGTTTGTGTGTGTTGCGCACTACCATGGCCATTGCTTTGCCAGCTCACCTCACTTCACTTCTCCTCCCTCACGCTTTTATCAGGCTACCGCCCCCCTCATACGTCGCCCACCGCCTCCCACCCCACTCCAGCAAGAAAGTGCACTCCTGAGGGAGGTGTGTGCTCACTCGGTGGGTGCAAATGTACGCCTGTTTCTGACCTTTCTCAACTTTGTCAAATCTACAGCCCTGCAAGTCTCTCTCTCTCTCTCTCTCTCTCTCAGGGTAATGTTTCAGAATGACAGTAATCATTCTACTAACGGTTGGGCCATTTACTAACAATAGATACAGTCACGGAAACACCATCCATTCAAGGCCCTCATATCAGTGATGCACAACTCTGGGTTTTCTGGAGTCGACTCCTGCCGCTGGTGTTGACTCCTCAACTCCACTTCATTTTAACCAACACAGCGCCAGCACCATTAATAGAGTTTTAGCACACATTATGCCATCCTAAAAATGGTTTAACCACTTTTTTGAGTTGCGAAAGATCATAGTGACAATTCGTAAATACAACCGGTTGTGTCAGACAAATACAAGTTCTAAAAGTTATGGGCTGGAGATGGGGTTATGCGCTTGCAAGCTAGAACACTGTTTCAACTATCTGCTGCCTTGTAATTAAACTAACGCTACTCACACTCAGCACCTTTCCTGCAGTACACACACAGACGCCAAAATGTCCCTCAAGGCAGTCATGGTAGGAAAAAAAATCACAACAGAAGAGTAGATTTGATCAGGAGTCGCCTGGACGTGTCAGAGTCAAATCCTGATCGCCACTGCATATCGCACTAATAGTACAGTGGAGATTTTAGTAGACGTATGGTACCAGTCAAAGGTTTGGACACCTCCTGACAGTGAAGACGACAGAGTTATGAAGTAACACTTTAGGAATTATGCAGTGACCAAATAGTGTTACACTAACTAAAACAACCTTATATTTAACAGTTTTTACAAAAATACTGTTAAAGTAGCCCCTCTTTGATGCAGCTTCAGACACTTTTGACATTCTGTTAAACTGATTCATGAGGAGCCACCCAGGACGCTCTCAACAAGCTTAAAGCTAAACGTATTTTGGCATTTTTTTATTTAATTTGGCTTCATATTTAGTCATATTTACCTTAGAAAAAATGTAAATTGATTTAAGCATGAACCTTAACACTAAATTGTCTGAAGAAATACATACATTCAGTGTGCCCAAACATTTGACATCTTACTGTGCAATTTTAATTGACATTAATAAATAATAATTGCTAATTATTGTTATTATCCCTTTGCTACAGTTCAATTACTGTTACATAATTCCATAGTTACAGTAAGTTAGAGAAAGGCTTTTTTCATTTTGTTTTGATCACAACAATGATTCTAAAACATATAAATATAAATAATGCTTTCTCTACCTACAAAACATCAAATTCAATTCAAAATAAAATATTTCCTCGTCTACTTGTGTAGAAACACTTGTGTAGGGATGTAACAGTCCAGCATGCCGTATTTTATGGTATCGTAACTAGCATGTTAGCTTTTGGTTAGTGTGTTAACTTGAGATTATCATTAGCTTGAGGACCATTTTGTTTCATATTCTGTAGTTTTATAATGCTGAATGCTCTAATAAACTGACAATGGTTAACATATTAACATAAGCTATATTTTCAGCCACTGACAGTGGAAACATTAACATATTGACATAAGCTACATTTTCAGGAAGATATATCGGATTAGGATTATATTGAAGTGAAAATGAATTTTATGAGTTGTTACACCTCTATAAATGTGGAGTTAACTGAAACTTTAGAAAGAACTACAATAAGCTAACAGTAATAATAGGGAAATAATTGATATCAAATCACACCATGCTTCTGTTAGCGCTGGTGGTAAGTATGAATTCTAAAGGTTAATGCAGGGTGTAAATGGGATCTGTTTGCATCTCAGGGTTCAGTACAGTGATTGTGGCCTCTAATTCACTCCATGTTCATTGCCATCCTAACTTAGCCCTCTCGCTCCTCCAGGTTCTGTCCACTGTCTTTAGCCTCTGTAGTCTCAGCGTGCTGTGTCATGCCGCAGCAGTTTCACATCTCATCTCTCACTGTGCTCTTCACATGCTGGCCTGCCTTGCTACAACCCTCCTTATTCACCCTGCTCTCCTCAGAGAATTACGGGGATTTTCTCCCCGCTCGCAAAAAAACAGTAAATGTTGATCCTCATGCATTACTGTGCAGTTTGTAGGTAACAGGGCAGTGATTTTTGTTGTTTTGTCTCTGTAGTTCAGCATTTGAAATGAAACCATGACTGCAAAGTTAAAGTGCAGAATCAGCTTTAATTTGAAATAGAAAATAGAATTCTCTAAATAGAATTGTGCTTCACAAGCTATTCCTGCCATACCTAATGAGTCTATACCTAATGAACATTACCCATATAATCACACATACTTAACAGAGTATTTTCCCTGGTGATGGCATGCTAGGCCTGTAATGTAGCTACAGTTTCTGCTTGTTTTGGGGCTTTTTGCTTTTAGTTTTTGCCTTTCGGTGAAATGCTCCTCAGTGGGGATCAGAGTGCAAAACAACAGAGATAAAGCAGTTATTACTGCCCAGCTACTTACATCCTGCCATGTATACAGCCATATGCAAAATGTTGAACACCCCTCAGTCAAATTACATGTTTTGTTGATTTTCTAAGTGAAAATAAGGTTACATATCCTTGACAAGTAACAAACGTAAATATCATAATCATTTTTCGTATCATTTTTCTGTACTTGTTTGCCCAGGAGTCTGAGTTTAGAATATTATAAATAAATTATAAAAAAATGTGCCTTAACTTTTGCATGGGCCACATTTTATGTTTTCCCCACAAATATGTTAAATTTAGCAAATAAACAGTAATTGTGCATCAAAATGTGCGGATGTGTGTTCACTATAGAGGATGTGTTAACTTATTTCCTCATAGAAAATCAACAAACCATGTCATTTGACAGGGGCACCCAAATTTTTGCATACAGTTGTATGAGGAACTTTGCTGAAAGCGTGATCAGTTAAAGATGTCATTTTAATGTTTTTTCAAGCTTTCAAAATTGTAACATGTAAACGGGCGAGTATTAACTCATCCATTTCATATACAGCACATTAGCAGCATAAGCTTTTGAAAAACTAGAGATTCTAATATTGGTGCTAGTATTATTATCCAAGTAGAGCTTCAGGTTGAACTTACATTATAGCAGCAGTGCCCAGTCACAGTCTTGGAAGGCCACAGCACTGCACTTTAGTCTTTTCTCTGATTCAGCCTATTAGCTAATTGCAGAGTCCTTAATGAAATGAACTGAGGGAGTTTGGCAGCTCAAGTCTGTCTCTCTGACATATACAGTTTCAGCAGGAGATATTTTCTGCACTGTGAACAGCAAAACCTACATGAAATCTGACTTTTTTCAATCAAATTTAAGCCACATGTGTGGATTCAAATCAGATCTCTGGATATGCAACCAGTCAGGATTTCATGTTCTATCAGCTAAACTATATAAACTAAAAGGTGAGCTTGATGAGGGCTTGTTAAAAATGGTATTGAAATGGGTGGCATATTTTGCTTGTCTGTCCTAGTCAGCAAATGCATTCCTGTGATTACCAAAAATGGATATGTGAGTAAATGTTGTTGTAATATAAGCATGTAAATCAGATATTGTAACTTGCAATGTGGACACAGTCTAAAAATCAGATTTAATAAATCTGAGTTGACCTGCTTTGTGAATAAGGGCAAATTCTGCACTGCTGTGGCTTCCAGGACTGGAGCTGGATATGTCTTCATTATATTTACAGGCCTAAAAACTACTGCTCAAAAACCTGACTGTGTTCTATTAGTAAATAGATGGATTGTACAAATAGAGCTCATCATTTCTTGCCTGTAACTACAATAATCAGGTTCAGTCAGCTGTCTGGGATAAAGGCAAATCTGATCAAAGACCTATTTGATTTTCATCTCTTCTTCTTCTTGTGCAGCTTGTTCTCCTGAAGCAGAAGCTAAGGTCCCAGCATACGTTCACAGGTAACCCACAATGAATGGAACACAAAAGCTGTATAGCTAATGCTATCATGACTATCAAAATTAACTGAATAGCTGAGATTTGTTGTTTTTTTTTTCCCCCCCCACACAAACAGGAATACGCCTGAGTAAGAGCGCCAGCAACGCAGCAACTCTACATGCCAAGTTCACCAGGTCATCTATGTACAAATGTGACCTGCACCACTGTCTTTTACTACGTGTAAATATTGATTTTTCTAGAGTGTTTCTTGTGTCAAACACTTGTGTACGAAATATAAAAAAAAGTGTGGCTCTGTGTGTGAGTGTGTCTGAACTGTGAGAGCTGTGTCCCTCAATGCACTGCATGCCTCTCACACTGGCAGTGAACATCCCATATTAAAAGAAAACTCTGGCATTTTTCAAGCTAAACTCTCTCTGCTGCGTCCAAATTCTGTTAAATCAAAATTGTCTTGGAACATTCAGTCCAAGACAATTATGCTGCAGTTTATTGTTATTTTGAGCTCATTTTAATGGCTTCAAAGCTGTGGGACATCGTCTGCCAGTACAATGATAGAATGATCCACTCATAGTAGAAGCCAGTGGGCAGTTGCTCAATTCTGTGAATAAACATTGGTAATACATGGAAATAAGCAGAAAAGCTGTTGTTAGTAAATTTTATCTAACTTGGTAACAAATTACCATAAATACTTCCCTCTGGAAAGCGTATCTTTGAAAGAACCAACTATGCAGCCTTACAACTTAATTTACAAACATCTTTGACTGCAGAATTCAGGAAAATGTTCTACAAAAATATGTTTTGCATAAACATTTACTGACAAATCTCTGTCTGCCCATTTGGATCTGTTTTGAGTCACAAAATGTTCAGTACTTTTCTAAGAACAGGGACACTAAGTTACTATCCATTACTAATTAACCATATGCTACAAATGCAGCAGACAGAGATTACGCTTAAAATCCTGCTTGTGTTAACACTGTTTCTCATAAGTGTAAGGATAGCTGTGTATACAGAAGCTAGAGTAGGAGTGCACAACTCCGGTCCTGGAGGGCTGGTGTCCAGCACAGTTTGGTAATTTACCTGCTTAAGCACACCTGATTACACTCATCTGTTAGTTGCCAGGTGGGTGGGTGTGTTTGAGCAGACATTAAAGGCCAGGTGTGTGTTGGACCAGAACTCTCCAGGGAAGTAGATCTCCAGGACCAGGATTGAGCACCCCTGCAATAAAGTTATGGTCCACTTTAAGGGCATCATTATTAGCTCCACTGGAAACTGTGGATATTGCTGATTTCATCAGCTTGTGTTTTCTTTATCTTTTTTTCTGTTGTACCATTTTTAAAAATGCAGTATCAGCTTTTTTTCTCAAAATTCATGTAAACACTTTAATCTATGCTGTCTGGTTGCACTCTTTTGTCTCAGAGGGTGTGTAATTATTCTGTATTAAGCAACAGTCCACAATCTTTTCTGAACAAACTGCTGCAGCAGCAAAATGAACAGAATCAGTGTTGTCAGGTGGTTTATGAACTAATCAGAAAGATGTTTGTTCAGAGGTCAGGGTTATAGCTAACATGCAATACATAAGTAGATGGCTTTATATATTTATCACATTCAGGATGTCTTTTTCATTCTTTGACAGCAATGTAAAGTGGAATTTCACAGATTTTTCTTCTGCACAGTTCAATAGTTGAGAGGCAAACAAAGTCATTCAGAGTGTTGTGATGTGAAATGGTGCATTGTAGAGAAATGTATCACCTCAGATTTCTTAACAGTGTTGCTGATGGGGACAGGGGTCGCGATGACATAGCAATTTTATTTACTATCCAACAGAACCAGTTAATCTACACATCTCAGTTTTTATATGTAATGTTGATAATGTTAAAACTGTGGTAAGTCTGAAAAAATGTTTTCTTTGGGTACTTTTTTCCCTTTCAACACCCTGCATGTACCTCTAATACTACATTTTAGGCCTAAAACTTCTCACAACTGTGGTAAAACAACATCTTGGGCATCAGACAGCATATTCATAACCATTTCATGTAATAACTTTCAGTAATGTAGCTTTAAATATTTTGTATGTCTGGTTCCCATCACTACTGTGATTCTGACTTGGTAAGTTTTTCTAGAATAGTGTATTTCAAAACAGACCACTCTGAACAGATGTTTACGGTCATCTTGACTGTTTACATATATAAACAATTTGAACAATCAGTGTGAATTCAGATTACAGATTATAGAACTGGAGGCATACAGCAAAGAACTTTGTAAGCCTCGACATGTCTAGAACACATAAATATACAGTTTATATAGAAGCCAAGTATTTTTTGTCATTTAATGAAGTTTTACATATAAAGATCACTCTTCACACAATTTATTTGAAGCATAAAATGACTGGAGTTCAACAAAAGTACACAGAGTCAAATGAAAATCTGTACAGTTAACTAGAAGGATGTAAAAATGTGTAAGAAAGTGTTTTAATAAATAATCACGTTAGAGGGGGCCAGAGTTTGTGATAAATTGTATTTAGTCGAATAAACCAATGTGCTGACCTGCTGACATTGTGAAGAAATGTATTAACATTAAAGCTGAGGAAGGGATCACTAGATGTGGTTGGTGTGGTCATTACTCATTATCAATAGTTCAGCCTTTTAAGTGTTACTGTGTTACATCAAGATGAGGGTTTGTAGTGTTGCTAGAACAAACTGCCCTAAGAGCTAAAAATGCAGCCGTCCCATGTAGACAGATTACTGCTCGCTGACCATGTGGCCAAAAATGCCATAGCTGTCGCTTGTGGACACGAAATATATCAAACACTTCCCTACATAGTACATTTGATGAATAATTACAACAACGTAATTAGCACTGATGTCCCATATTACTCTATTAACTGTAAATGAACATTTAATTCAAAGGTTTAGGTACTTAGATCATAGATCAGACTCAGCGTTTTCAGTGTAAATATTCATAATTAAATGTGATTGACTTAACTTACACTGCGATGAAATGACTGGATATTAATTTTATAGATGTAAATGTAGATGATTAAAACAGTCTGCAGCACTCAAGCTGAACATACAGCACATACAGTATAAAACAATATGGTTTATATCCCTTAAAAATACACTGCTGTAGATAAAACATGCAAGGGCCTGAAAACTAAAAATGGAGAAACATAATACATCAGATCTCTCTCATACTCTCACGCAAACAAGCTTCAGCATGAAGGACCATCAGAACAATGTTTCTGGACAGTCTGTGCACTACTTACCAGAAAGCAGACCAAGCTGTGCTTTCGTGGAAACACTGGAGCAGTTGCAGGGCATCTTGAACAGTGTGACTGTTCGGATCTGTCTGGAAGGAGCTTTGTGACCATTAATGAGGCCAGACAATAGTTTAGGTTCATAGTTTACTCTTTAATTAAAATGCTGATGCTAGTTTTCAGCAGTGCTGAGTCATGACTATTACGAGTTAGGCCTTTGATTTGGGCCATAAATGTCAAAACCTGGGCAAAAAACTTCAATAACACTAATTTAAAATTTGTAATATTATGCTATGCTATGCTAGCACTACTGCACGTTAACATTTTTTGGCAATTCTAGATTAAAGCCAGACATTTAAAGCTTGTAAAAGACATTCCACATGTTTTATTTGAAGCTTGTAACAGACCTTGACATAAATTTTACCCTGTATGTTGCAAAGCCCTGCACAGAGCTGCCACCACCGTTTTCCATTTCTAACAACTGAAGGCCTAGAAGGCTATGAGGTTTCTTCTGTTTTTTTTTTTTTTGGTATCTGAATTGAAGGGTGTTCTTTTTTTACCTGAAAGCATAAAACCTTTTTGTTTTTGGTCACCAAGGTTACGGTTAGAGTTAAGACTTTTCCTGTGTTTTTTTTTAACCAGAGGCTTTTTTTCTAGTGGCCATGGCGGAAAATGCAGTGTCTAAATTTCTCTTTGTATCAAGTCCCTTGCATGTCTCTAAGATATTTACCTGATGTTCTATCCAGACCTTTGAGTGATACATCTGCAGCTGGATGAAGTGATCAGGCTCTACAGAGATTTATGTATCTGCCCTTTTCAATGCCTCCTGAATGGATTCTCCTATGAAGAAGATGGTGATAAACTGTTTCTATCTTGTCTGAGAGTGCAGCCTCTGTTCCAATCTGATTCTGCATGAGAAACTAGTTACTAGCACAAGCATTATACATTAATGCATTTACATGATGTAATAACAAACTGAAGATTAATTTATAGTATAATCATATTTATCATGACGTAGATCACTTCAGTTACAGGTGTCCATCATGTACCCTTTAAAGTGACAGCTGGCAAAGTTTGACTGATCATGTGTCTTCACCACTGCTGCTAAGACTGCATCTGTTTTCTGCTCCCTTCATTCACTTAAGTATTCCTGGCAGAAATAAAATTTAAAGGGATAATCAAATTGGCTAAAATTCATTTAGAGAAGAGCCTATAAAACTGGCACTGTGTCGAACCAGGAGTCATAAAACAAGAATTCATCGCCAGCAATTGTCTTTAATAATCAGAGTCTCAATCTTCCAAATGTACAATTCATCAATTACATTTACAACAACTAGTCGAGTTTATATTTGTAATGCAGTTATTATGGATATGTTGGACTGCAGTGTGGTTCCTTATTGGTACAAATCTGATAAATAAGAATCGTTTACCAAACGTAAAATGGCCACACCGGGGTGGTTACAGTATCCCGACATGCAGGGGAGGTGCATGTTCTGCGATACTCTGTGGACAAACCCGTACACATGCAAAGATCCGTCTGAGGAAATAAAAATGTACCACAGTATCAAATGCACACATTTGATAAAGAGCACACAACAGCACATTTTCTAAGACAATCAGAACAGCTTGTGTGTTCGCTCGATGGTTTGTGGAGTTGTCGGCAGGATTTCAGCCCCCTTCAAACATAACACAAACACACACATCCCAACTTGTCAAAGCCCTTTCATGACACCTGACATGATGTGTTATTACTGTCTTTGGACCCACAAATGACCTACAAATTCATAACCCATTACAGTGAGCTGTATTGTTAATGTGTTATTACACCTGTATTGGCAGTCATGTTATATAAAGAAGTGGCAGTGCACTCCATTTCAACCGACTGCACAGTATAAAGTTACTGCTAAAGCTTTATTTTGATGGTCCACTGTAGATCCCCTGCAAGTGCTTAGCTTCACATTAATTTGCATTTAAATGGGAATTCCACCAACTTTTCAAAATTTCTCTATGATTAAATTGTTAAGATGCAAAGAAAGTCATTCAGAGTGGTTTGATGTGGTTTCACAGTGGTGGTGATAGGAACCAGACATCTGAAGAGTTTTATGCCTCCAAAATCTACCTCACAAGTTATTACATGAAATAGTTAAGTATATGCTCTCTAATGTCTGAGACGTTGGTTAATGATAGGTTTGCGATAAAACTTTGGCTTTAAAATAATTAATGGCAGAGAGAGACGAACAAAATGGTATAAAAAGTAAAAGAAAAACTATTTTCACATTTATCACTACTTACAGCAATCACTTGTAGGTTCACTAGTGGTTTTGGACGTAAATAAAATTGCTAGATGTGTGTTGTTGACATCGTGAGCCCTATCACCACCACTTTAAAGAAATCAGAGTCAGTAAGTTCTGCTACAATTCACCATCAGATTTACATCAGATCACGCTGAATAACTTTGTTCCATTAATAGCAGATTCCATTAATATCAACCTAACATTTCCCTATCTGTAAATAAATCGCTCACTCTGATGTTAACGTTAACATCAAAACCTAATCTTAACCACAACGCTAAGGCTGGTTATAATCCTATTCCTACAATCATTGTTGATAATCAACTGAGTTTCAACAGAATGTTAATAATTTGAGCATTTGTAGATTATCTATAGGGGACCATCCTAATAAAGTGGCACCAGGTTATTGGTTATTGATACTGTGCCATCTCAAATGCTCAAGAGCAAACAGTTCCTTCCTTCATAGAAAACAGCCAGTCAACTTACACACACGATCATGATTAAGGAATTCTGCCCAGACAATGTGGTGACAGTAAAATCGCCAAGTAGATCGACTCATTCTTCGGTACCAAGACACGATTATTCGTTCAAATGTCCATTTGACAATAATATTCTAGTTCAAAATGCAACAGACTAATGATATGGAATTAGCTCTTTCCAATAAAGTGACTTCCACAGATATGAACATGGGCAGCACTAAGACCAAGAGGTCAAACATGAAGAGTCCACTCCGGTCCAGACCCCTATACAGTACAAACACATTTTGATCTCTACTCATACATGTCGAAGGCAGGTTCGGGGAGGAAAGGTGGGGGAAAGGCAGGGGGCGGTGTATCGTTAAGAGCAAAGTCTGGCTAGCCGAACACGAGTACACCATTAAATCAGACTATTTAAAAAACATGCAGGTTTCAAAATTGGCTGGTACTCAAGCTACATGGAACACGTGGGGTTTTTGTACACAGCAAGAATGTATGGCTGCACTCGTTCCTCCTCCAGCCCTCATATGGTTATTGTCTTGTTCTTTTTTTTGTAATTTTTTTAGCTTCTTTCTTTTGTTTTTTTTGCATTTTCGTCTTTCTCGATGACACGGATGCTTCGTGTATCACAGCTATGGTCTTTTAAAAAGTGTTGCGCTCTCTGGTATCTTGCAGAAACCTATTGCAGAAGGCTGTCTATGATGTCAGACATTTCTGAGTCATGAACGCATGCGCTGACACTCTTAAAAATAAAGGTTCCTGAATGGCTCTTGGCTTGGGCGGACATTTGTAGGTCAAAACCTTTAAATGGTATAGAATCTTTACATTATGTGGACGTTATAGGTTATAAGAACTTTATTCGGTTCTTCACACATGCCTCATTTACAAAAATGTGGTTCTTCTTGGTTCTTCTTCTATTGAAAGGTTCTTTACAGAACCAAGAGTGGTCCTTCAATAGCATCGCTCCAAAGAACGCTTTTTTGGCACCTTTACTTTTAAGAGTGCAGAGTGAGGGTTGAGGAGAGGTGGCTTTAGAGCAGGGAGGTCGAGTAGGACTGGATAACCTTGGCACATGACAGAGGGAGACAGGGGGGTCAGAGGAGGTTAAGTGTGTATAGGAAGGGTTGGCAGGCAGAGAGTGGATGAGGTGTGTGTGTGTGTACCTGTGTGTATGCATGTATATGTGTAAAAGAGTCTTTTAGCTCTGCGCCGTTAGCCTCTGTTCTGTGAGTGAGGCCTGGTGTGCCACCGTTTTGTTCTCATGGGAGCGTAGTTTGGAGACAACATCAATAAAGGCCAGGCTCTGTACTTCTTTATGTAGTGGTTCTGAAGAAAGAGAAACAGTGTAAAAAGGAAATAGTTAATGCACATGTCAAACAAACTTCTGTTTTTAGAAAAGTGCTGTGAGGTTTTAGGCACCTGAGAAGATTCAAATTAAAAAGCTGTTTCTCTGGTCAGTAAGCATTTGCTCAGAAAAACATTAAAATCAGAAGAAATACAAATAACATTAATACAATAAGTAGTGATTTTCTGTGTCAATGTGTTCATTTAACCATTTCCAAACCTCTCCTCGAATT